TTAAGGCTGGGCACAGTGGCTCACACCTGTAATTCCAGCACTTCAGGAGGCTAAGGTGGGCAGATTGCTTGAGCTCAGGAGTTTGAGACCAGCCTACGCAACATGGCAAAAACCCATCTTTACAAAAAACAGCCAGGCATGGTGGCATATACCTATAACCTCAGCTACTTAGGAGGTTAAGGTGAGAGGATTGCTTGAGCCCAGGAGGCAGAGGTTACAGTGAGCTGATCGTGCCACTGCACTCCAGCCTGGGTGACAGAGCCAGATCCTTCTGAAAAAAAAAAAAAAAAAAAATTCATGGACTCAAATGTAAAATATAAAACTATAAACCTCTTAGGGAAAAAGAAGTCTCAGGATCTAGGGCTAGACAAAGAACTCTTAAATTTGACACCAAAAGCATGATCAATAAAAAAATAAATAAATTAGACTTCATCAAAATGAAAAATTTTTGCTCCATGAAAGACCCCATTAAATGTATGAAAAGACAAGCCACAGAGTAGGAGAAAATATTTATAAACCATGTAAGTGACAAGGATTCATATCTAGAATATATAAAGAAATCTCAAAAATACCCAGTTAGAAAATGAGCAAAAGACATGATACGTTTTACCTGAAAGAATATACAGATGGCATAAAAAGATGTTTATCATCATTAGCTATTAAGGAAATAATGCAGAGAAACTGAATCAGCCATATACTGCCAAAGGGATGTAAAATAGGCTCTAGAAAACAGTTTGTCAGTTTCTTGAAAAACTAAGTAACTACTATTTGACCCAGCAACTGCACTCAAAGACATTTATCTCAGAAAAACGAAAACTTATAGTCAGTCACTCAAAAACCTATACACAAATGTTTATATACTAACTTTAACAGCCAAAAACTGGAATCAAAGTAGATGTCCATCAATTACTGTATGATTAAACAAACTGTAATACATCCATACCAATGACTACTACTGAGCAATTAAAAAGGATCAAGTTCTTGATGCACACAACAATTTAGATGAATAGCCAGAGAACAATGCTGAGTTTAAAAAGCCAGTCCCGCCCCCTTCAACAGCTCAGCTGGTAGAGCGGAGGACTATAGGTGCACGCCTATGGCCATCCTTAGGTGCTGGTTCGATTCTGGCTCGGAGAGACGCCTTTGTTTGGCCAGGCGCGGTGGCTCACGCCTGTAATCCCAGCACTTAGGGAGGTTGAGGCAGGTAGATAACCTGAGGTCAGGAGTTCAAGACCAGCCTGGCCAACATGGTGAAACCCCGTCTCTACTAAAAATACAAAAATTAGCCAGGCGTGGAGGCAAGCACCTGTAATTCCAGCTACTTGGGAGGCTGAGGCAGAAGAATCGCTTGAACCTGGGAGGCAGAGGTTGCAGTGAGCCGAGATCACACTACTGCACTCCAGCCTGGGTGACAGACGGAGTCTCTGCCTCCAAAAAAAAAAAAGCCAGTCCCAAAAGGTTACACATTGGCCAGGCACAGTGGCTCACGCCTGTAATCCTAGCACTTTGCGAAGCCGAGGCAGATGAATCACTTGAGGCCAGGAGTTCAAGACTAGCCTGGCCAACATGGTGAAATCCCGTATACACTAAAAATACAAAAATTAGCCAGGTATGGTGGCACATACCTGTAACCCCAGCTACTTGGGAGGCTGAGGCAGGAGAATTGCTTGAACTCAGGAGGCAGAGGTTGCAGTAACCCAAGATTGCATCACTGCACTCCAGCCTGGGTGACAGAGCGAGACTCTGTCTCCAAAAAAAAAAAAAAAAAAAAAAAAAGGTTACATATTACATGATTCAATGTATTTAACATTCTTTAAATGATAAAATAGTTAAAATGAACAGATTAGTAGGTGCTAGTCATTAAGAAGGAGTTGAGGTTGGGGATGGAAGAGAAGTATGTGTGGCCATAAGAGGGCAAGTGGAGGATCTCTGTAGTATGGAAATGTCCTGCATCTTGCCTTATCAACATCAATACCCTGCTGTGATACTGTACTATAGTTTTGCAGGATGTTACCATTGAAGGAGACTGAGTGAAAAGCATGCGGAATTTCTCTGTATTGTTTCTTATACATGTGAAGAATCTACAATTGTCTCAAAATAAAAAGTTTAAATAAAATAAACATCTTTAAAAAGAAAGGCTCTTTACCTGCTAATCCTGCAATCCCTGTGTTTCTCTACTGCTATGTCCTTATTTCTACTTGTCACTCAAATCAAGTTCCTTCTTTGCTCTTGGATTATTTGATTCTTATTTTATCCAGCTAATACCACTCAAATGAAATTACTCTTGCTAAAGTCAATGATAATCTTCCAACTGAAAAACAAAATTGAAATGTGCTAGTTCTTCTACTTACTCAGCCTCTAAGTATTTGACACTGATCACCACTCCTCTTCTATAAAAACTCTACCTCCTCTGCTTCCATAACAATACCCTCTACCAGGTCTTCTCCTGCCTCTTAGCTGCTCTTTGGGTGATGGGTTGGGTGGGGGGCAGGGGGCAGGGAGGGTGATCAGGGGAGGAGGCTTTTTCTTTCCTTTAACTTCAAAATGCTGGTTTCACTCAAGGTACAAATGCTCTTCACGTTCTATACATGCTTCTTGGGCACTCTCATATTCAGCCATTCTATCTAAATATTATAGACTATAGGCCTTCCTTACCAATATCTATTCACATAAACTGTTTCTAGATCAAGGTGAATACCTCACAGAAAACTCAAACATAATATATTCCAGACTAGACTACCCTCTCTTATTCTCCTCAGCCAAAACAATCTGTTTTCCTACATTCGTATAAATTACAGCTGGGCGCAGTGGCTCACACCTATAATCCCAGCACTCTGAGAAGCCAAGACAGGTGGATCACCTGGGGTCAGGAGTTCAAGACCAGCCTGGCCAATGTTGTGAAACCCTGTCTCTATTAAAAATACAAAAATTAGCTGGGCATCATGGCGGGCACCTGTAATACCAGCTGCTCGGGAGGCTGAGGTAAGAGAATCGACTGAACCCGGGAGGTGGGAGTCACAGTGAGCCAAGATAGCGCCACTGCATTCCAGCCTACAGCCTGGGCAACCAAGAGAGGCTCCGTCTCAAAAAAAAAAAAAAAAATTGTTTTACCATCCTTATATTTATCCTAGATGGAAACCTAAGAATTTAGGATAACTAGACTCTGACTCTGTAGGCTCTTCCTTCCTTAATCTCCATATCTAATGTTTCTATGTCATTTTAATTCTTCTGAATCTCATTCAGCTTTGAACCTCTTCTGCCAGTTTCTTAATTCAGTTAAATTCTGATCATCTCCTAGTTGGTCTATCTCTTAGTCTGGCTCTTTTCTTTTTTTTTTTTTTGAGACAGAGTCTCGCTCTGTCACCCAAGCTGGAGTGTGGAGTGCAGTGGCGTGATCTTGGCTCACTGCAAGCTCTGCCTCCCAGGTTCAAGCCATTCTCCTGCCTCAGCCTCCCGAGGAGCTGGGACTACAGGCATGCGCCACCATGCCTGGCTAATTTTTTTTTGTATTTTTATTAGAGACAGGGTTTCACTGTGTTAGCCAGGATGGTCTCGATCTCCTGACCTCATGATCCACCTTCCTCAGCCTCCCAAAGTGCTGGCATTACAGGTGTGAGCCACCACACCCGGCCTTCTTTTCTATTCTTCATACTGTTTACACGTTGGTTTTACTAGTGCTCAAATTTCTTCCATGGTTCCACACTGCTTTCAGGTTCTATATTGCTTTCCACAAACGTGGACTTTTCTATGTTTCTTAGTGTCATGTGTAAGACTTTTAAACCTCAACCTACTTCTCATCCTCATCTCCTACAGCTTATCCTTCTTTTCTGCTCTCTAGACTGACTGAGCCATCTGGCAGTTCCCAAACATGCCACAATGTCTCCTGGTATTACCTTAAAACAAGTTCTTTACTCTTCCGGGAATACCAGCCTTCCATTTACTTGGCTCCCACTCAGCCTCATGATGGAGCTCTAGCATTTCCTCCTGAGAAGTCTTGCTGAACATCTCTCATCCTGCAGTGACCATCTGTAATTACTTTGTAGACTTTACAGTATCAATTGATTTCCTTCTTAATCTCCTTTTGACTCAAAATTTTTAGGAAACATTCTCCAATTACACAAAAATTCTCTACTATGATCCAGATGGATCCCTTTGCCCCAGTGAGAACTTTGTAATTACTGTACTTATCTAAATTATTAATGATCATTCTTTCTGGTCTCTTATATTAGAATGTAAACTGCTGAAGGACAAGGAATTCTGTCCATGAGGACTTAGGACATAATTATATGTCTCTAAAAACTTTAAAAATACTAGCAAAGTCTTGAAAATGAACAGACCAGCCTAGGCAACATGGCGAAAACTCATCTCTACAAAAAAAATACAAAAATAGGCTGGGCGTGGTGGCTCACCTCTGTAATCCTAGCACTTTGGGAGGCCAAGGCGGGTGGATCATCTGAGGTCAAGAGTTCGAGACCAGCCTGGCTAACATGGTGACATCCTGTTTCTACTAAAAATCCAAAAATTAGCTGGGCATGGAGGCGCACACCTGTGGTCCCAGCTACTCAGGAAGTTGAAGCAGGAAAATCACTTGAACCAGTGAGTTGGAGGTTGCAGTGAGCCGAGATCACGCCACTGCACTGGGGCCTGAGTAACAGAACAAGACTCTATCTCAAAAAAAAAAAAAAAAAAAATTAGCGGGGGTTAGTGGTGCATGCCTGTGATCCCAGCTACTTGGGAGGCTAAGGTGGGAGAATCACAAGAGCCTGGGAGGTCAAGGCTGCAGTGAAGTAAGATCACACCACTGCACTCCAGCCTGAAAAACAGAACGAAACCCTCTCAGAAAAAAAGGAAAATAAATAGAAAAGAAGACTATTCAAGAAAAAGAAGAGGGTGCATTACTAGAGATAAAATTAGGCTATTAAAAGTAAGTACTGCAAATAATATCATTCTTTAAAAAAAACAGATAATGCATCTCAGTTCTAATAGCCGTCCAAACTAACCTTAGTCTTGCTGAACATTCTCCTTCTTCTTTGGCTACCCATCCAACATCAGCAAAAGACGCCACTGCATCCTCTCCTGGGTGGCTGGGACTCCATTCCGTTGCATGGCTGTTAATCTACAAGTTACAAATAGGGAAAGTTCTTCATCTGGCACCAAAATGTTAAGAATAAATTTTTTTTTTACTCACCTAAAAGAAAATCGTCAACTCTGCTGTTAAAAACATGAGTGGTTTCTAACTCTTCCACTGAAGGTCTCTATGATTAATAGTCATAATCATATTGTTGCCTAACAGTATATGACAATTGCAGAACTATAATTTAAGTTTATTTGGTTTTCATTTTATAAGTTGTTTTTTGTTTGTTTGTTTGTTTGTTTGTTTTGAGATGAAGTCTAGCTCTGTCACCCAGGCTGGAGTGCGGTGGCTCGATCTTTGGTTCACTGCAACCTCCGCCTCCCAGGTTCAAGTGATTCTTCTGCCTCAGTCTCCTAAGTAGTTGGGACTATAGGTGTGCACCACCACGCCCGGCTAATTTTTGTATTTTTAGTAGAGATGGGGTTTCACCATGTTGACCAGGGTGGTCTAGAATTCCTGACCTTGTGAACTGCCCGCCTTGGCCTCCCAAAGTGTTGGGATTATAGACGTGAGCCACCGCACCCAGCCTATAAGTTGATTTTTTTAAAAACTATCCTAGAAAATTAAGAAAAATTTTAGAATCTAAGCATGAGAAACCACTTTTTTCTAAAGAGATTTTAAAAGGTATGTGTAAGCAGCGGGGTATAGGAACAAGCAAACCGGCAGGCAGAGGCTGTGGTGAGCCGAGATCGTGCCACTATACTCCAGCCTGGGTGGCAGAGCAAGACTCTGTCTCGGGGGAAGAAAATAAGAACAAGCAAAAGACCAATTTGAGCTAAATCCAGAAATATTTCTAAATGGGTATTATATAACTGTTTTGTTATAATGTTTTTATATATGTATACATTATAATATTGAAAATGGTTTTTAAAACTCCTTAAATCTCCTACATTTTAAGTAAAAGTATTAAAGAACAAAAGAACAAACAGCAGAACAGAATTCTCTACCTAAACTTAACATGGATGCAAACAAAGAATATTTTGAAATAAATACAAAAAAAAAAAAAAAAAGACAGGTGCGGTGGTTCCTGCCTACAATCCCAGTACTTTGCGAGGCCAAGGCAGGCGGATCACTTGAGGTCAGGAGTTTGAGACCAGCTTGGCCAACATGGTGAAACCCCATCTCTACTGAAAATACAAAAAAAATTAGCCAGGCATGGTGGCACACACCTGTAATCCTAGCTACTCAGGAGGCTGAGGTGGGAGGATTGCTTGAACCCGGGAGGCAGCAGTTGCAGTGAGCCGAGATTGCACCACTGCACTCTAGCCTGAGTGACAGGGTGAGATGGTCTCAAAAAGAAAAAGAAAAAAAAAAAAAAAAAAGACCAGCAGGATATCTTGAAACTTATTTTGAAAAACAAGAAGGATAACTAACTTAAATGTACATTTCATTATACATATAATAATGCCTGAGTCAAAAAGTCAACAAATAATAACTTTTAAATAAAGTTATCAGATTAATACTTCCTAAAAGTGTGAGTGAGGTTTAAATAAAAAAGAAAAACAATCAATCCACACTTTTTAATTACGGAAAAAATGAAAAGGCCAAAGAGATTTAGTCATTAATATGTTTATCAAAAAGTTACCCTTGGGACTCATGCATTGTTCAAACCTCCTCAATGCCATCATTGCCAAGTCAAACTTTTGGAAAATATATTTAAATAATGCCTCTTCCTTAAACACAAAATATATCATGCAGACACATAATACTAACATTGTTGACAGTTTAAAATATCTTCAAAGTAATATTATGAATAAAACGTTAAACATATCAGCTGTTGGTATGTGTACTCTTCTGGTGTGATCATCTAATCAACTTAATAAAGTAGCATTAAAAATAACATTTTAAGGGCCGGGCATGGTGGCAGGAGCCTGTAACCCCAGCCACTAGGGAGGCTGAGGTACGAGAATCACTTGAACCTGGGAGGTGGAGGTTGCAGTGAGCTGAGATTGCGCCACTGCAATCCAGCCTGGGTGATAGAGCAAGACTCGGTCACACACACACACAAAAAATGTTAACAATAAAGTACTAAGAACATCGAGTATCTAAAGCACCTTAAATTCAGCCAGGTGCGGTGGCTCACGCCTGTAATCCCAGCACTTTGCGAGGACAAGATGGTGGATAGCTTGAGGCCCCAGTAACTTGAGATCAGCCTGGGCAACATGGCGAAATATCCGTCTCTACTAACAATACAAAACAATTCGTCAGGCGTGGTGGCGTGCGCCTGTAGTCACAGCTACTCGGGAGGCTGAGGTGGGGAGAATCATTTGAACTCAGGAGGCAGAGGCTGCAGTGAGCCGTGATCACACCACCACACTCCAGCCTGGGCAACAGAGTGAGACTCTCTCAAAAAATAGAAATTTTAAAATCTTGCCCTCCACAAAAACAAAAACAAATAAACCTAATAATGAAATTATGATAAAAAGGCTTTCAAAATACTAATTTGTATGTAGTGGAAGTAATTTGTAGTCAGATGAGGAAAAAAGTATAAACTTCAGTAAGTAAATTCTCAAGGTATAAGATCAAAGGGATGATTTTTGTACTTCTCCCTATGTAGTTCAGAAACTTATCCAAACAGATATTTAGCAAATCAGTATCTCACACAACTTAAATAACATAACTGAGTATCATATTTGATCTCAAGAGTTGAGAAATCAGGTAATGTTCTGTTCCTACCCATTACTGAAAACAGAATGGTATCCTGATATTCCCATAACACTGTAATAAGGAGATTCTAAGTGGGTTATGTGGCTATCCTTCAGCAGGAATGTTCCCAAGCCCTGTGAGGCTCCTAGCGGAGATGGTATTTAATGGGCTATTTTGTATAAGTGTTAGACAAATCCTTAGACTAAAATCTGAATGGTGCCTTCCTAAGGTACTAATTCATGAGATGATCAATCTGATCATGACCCTTTGTTCAGAAATAAAAATTCTGTTCTGATATAATGACTAGTTGGTAGAAAGTTAGGTATATTTAAGACAAAGACTTCTTACTTTCCTACAGAAGTTACAAAAATAGCTGTTTTCTTCAAAACATCTATAAAAGGAAACAAAGTGTGGGGAGGAGGGAAGAAAAAAAGAAAAACAAATCAAAAAAACAAATTTCTTTTTTGTTGTTGTTGAGATCAGGTCTCACTCTGTCACTCAGGGTGGAGTGCGGTGGAACCATCTTGGCTCACTGCAACCTCCCGCCTCCCAAGTTCAAGCGATTCACCTGCGTCAGCCTCCAGAATTACTGGCACATGCCACCACACCTGGTTCATCTTTTGTATTTTTGGTAGACATGGGGGATATCGCCATGTTGCCCAGGCTGTTCTCAAATTCCTGGGCTCAGGGGATCCACCCACCTTGGCCTCCCAAAGTGCTGGGATTATAGGCATGTGCCACCATGCCCAGCCACTACTACTTTTCTAAGAATACATAATCACAGAAATAGAAGTAAATTCATTTTCAGGATATCATAAATAGTTATTAAGGATTAAACACATTTCTCAATTTTACATCTATAAAATTAAATAATGCCTCCATAAAATTAGTATGCTAAACATAAAATGCCAGCTTTTGCACAAACTTTTAAGAAACAAAACAAGATATAACAAACTATTCCATGGACTTAATTTGGATCTTACTTAAGCCTTAATTATGTAAATGATACCATGTCCATAATATGTGCTCAATAAGATGAAAATGTTAATGATGCTCTCAAGAACCAATTCCAAAACTGATAAGATGTATGTCATTTCTACTTGACATCCCGTCCCACAAAACAAAATAGTTTTGGCATTTAAGTCAAACTCATTCAAAAGACAAAATAAAACCAGAAAAAAATCTTCTTTATAAAAGGCCATTTCAGGTGTTGGTGAAGGAAGTATTCATTGAGTGACACAGGCATGGGACACAAAGGACAATTTCCAGGACAATGCACTTAGTAAAGTACAAGTCAAGATGAAGTCAGCCCTGGCAAGGACTGACAGTAAGAAATTCTTGGAAATACGATGTAGACACCACGACATGCATAGATGACCGATGGAAAGTTTGACAAAGAAAAGGACAACTTACTGAAGGTTCCCAGCAAGGTCCTGTCCTACTACAGCTATTGTCAGTGGAAAAAGAAAAAAAAAGTGAAGAGATAGAAATTTTTTTTCAAAATCACATTTCATTCAGAGCAAAAATTTAATAATAACACTAAGTTACCCAAAATTCAATTTTATTTTAGAAATCTTACTGAAGCCACTTTAATTTAAAATATTCTGATAATGTAATATACCAAAAAAAATCAGTTCATTTAATAAAGTGCATATTAGTAAAATACAAATGTTGTACAACAGTAGAAAAGCTTAGAATAAAAATGTTAGGAGTACTAACTTCATCCTCTTGTGACTTTGTAAAATAAACACACAGTACTGGGAACTAGGATTTGCTGCAAAGGGCATAATAGCAAATTACACTCATTCTAGTTTACTACCATTTGTTTATAGTCAAATGCATAACATACACGGATTCTTTGTATGTTTGTTTGTTTGTTTTTGAGACCAAGTCTTGTTCTGTTGCCCAGGCCAGAATGCAATGGTGCCATCTCAGGTCACTGTAACCTCCACCTCCCAGGTTCAAGCAATTCTCCTGCCTCAGCCTCCCAAGTAGCTGGGATTACAGGCACCCACCACCATGCTTGGCTAATTTTTGTATTTTTAATAGAGACGGGGTTTCACCATGTTGGCCAGGGTGGTCTTAAACTCCTGACCTCAAGTGATCCACCCGCTTCAGCCTCCCAAAGTGCTGGGATTACAGGTGTGAGCCACCACGCCTGGCCCACATATACATATTCTTAATAGCAACATAGTAAAATGATAATCTCTAGCTTTTTACCTATATAGATTTAATTATTTCTCTTTTTTCTACCAGTTGCTTCCACGCTAAGAAAAACTAAAAGCAGGCCGGGCGCGGTGGCTCACCCCTGTAATCCCAGCACTTCGGGAGGCCGA